CAATAATTCATCCATTTGCATAGCAGTATTTCGGTGATTAATTAATGTAGAAATATGATATTAGACTGATAAAATTTTATTTGTTTTTTAATAATATGATTATTCGAAGGTGTTCCGCGATATTCGAAAAATAAATTTTCGAACGAATTTTTAAAATTACCGATTCGATAGTTTTTTTTTTTTTTTTTTTTATCAGCGCATATTTTGTTTTCGGTTATATCTTCATTAAATTTTGTTTTATCTTAAAATAATCGTTATTTTTTTAATTATTATAAACTCCTCATTTCTTTTAATTGTTGGAGTAATGAATAAATATATTTTAAAAATTAACACACAATAAATAATTATTTAAAATATTTTTTAATTTTTAATTTTTAAAAATAATTTTATATTTATATAATAATATATTATTAAAATTAATATAATAATATAAATATTAATTTATTATTTTTTATTTAATATTAAATATAATAAATTAATAATTTGACTGAATATATAACCGTAATATTCTATCAATTCAAATAAAACAGATGTCATTATCATATGTTAATACACAATTTTTTTAAATATAGTATAATTTTGTCATTACCGTACGTTAATTACCGACCACAAAGTTTATTTAAACATAGCAGAAGAAGTAAATTTTATGATTTACTCATACTTTTCCTCTTCATTTATTATTTGTTTCTTCCCAAAAAAAACATGAAAAGGAAATTAGAAAAAGAAAAATAGAAACAGTGGCACCTTCCAGGGAAGACTGGGAGACTGTTGAATTTCTCAAGGTCATCAAAAGCTGGAAGTGATATACGGGCTGTAATGGGCTTGCCCATAATTCCCATTCACTCACAGAACCTGGAATAAGTTAATACAAAGCTTTTAATTCTGGCTTAACATGGTCAGACAGAATTTACTAGACTCTGCCTTCTTTTTAGGCTAAATTCAATGGCGCAATCCATCTCGAGGGAACAGGAAAAAAAAGGAAGAAAGACCTTGTTTAAGTATATTTCCATTTGAAAACATGAATAGGATTGTCTGGGGTACAAAAAAGGACCAAACACATTACCCAAGCAAGCAATTTCTTCCCTGATCCAATCTGCAAAAAATAATGTGACGGCAGGGTAAAAACTGCTGCAAGATTGACTTCACAAACACGTAGCATAAATAAACAGAAGTGTAGTCAAAATCTGTCGGCGAGGCTTTTGACAGCGAGTGCTTCAGCTGTTTTCTTGCCCTGCAATGGTTTAAAAGAGGTCAAAGTTATTCCCTGATCTCGACTTGTTCTGTTTTTATTGTTCGATTCTGTTTTATAATGAAATCTAGGTGTAAAAAGAATACAGGCTATGATATCTTAGTATCGCAAAAGGTCACCACAATGAGATCTTCGTTCCAGATTTAGAAAGAAACATATGAGACTACGATATCAGAACAATAAAATCCCTAAAAGTCAAAGCTTAATGAAGAATTTCCCACTAAATTTTGGCTTTAGACAGTATCAGCATGGTTCCTCAAAAAAAAAAAAGAGCTTGCATATTCAAATTTCGATGAAATTTTAGGAAAATGAGATGCAAATTCCGCTACTAATCAGTTTAATTGCATTCAATGACCATATTGTTAGACCTATTAAGAAATAGGAAGCAGATTCCTCAGAACTTGCAAAATCACTACAATTATCAGTCAACTTAGTCCTGTAATAAGGATTTATTGTCATCCCACCAAGTAAAGAATCACCACAGTTACCAGAGTGAATTGTTCATTCTGGAAAAAGGATTCTCCAACTACTTCTTTGGCTATTTCAAGAAATTGCAACACCCTACTTAACCAATAAGAAACTGCCCTTGCTAAACAACAAAGTCATGCTTGACGACAGCCTTATTTATAAATTTCATTTGTATATAATGCAATTAAAAGTCACGGATCAAAACAAAAAGTTCAGTAAACATAAGTTATTTCTAAGATATAATCTTACCATGTTATTAGGCCCCACATTAAGTCAAAATTAATGTACTTGCCAAAATGCGAATGCCTCAAAGATTGGAAGAGTCCCAACTAGCATAAACAGCCCCTACGATTTTCTCATGCAAACTGGGACCAGAACAAACAATTATGCCACGGTCAAGGCCTTCCAAGTATACTCCTTTTGAGAAGTCCAGAGGTCTCCCTCCTGCATCAGTAACCACACCACCAGCCTCTTCTACAATCACAACACCAGCAGCATGATCCCATATTTTCTCTTTGTAGCCTGCCCTTGCAAACTTCATAAAGATCTCAGCATCTCCCCGAGCTATGGCTGCATATTTGACCATGCTATAGACCCTTAGAGGCTTCTTTCTGCCATTAGACCATAGGAAGAAATGAGAACAAACCCGAAGATGACTAAAGAAAACTGAATGGCCAAAAGCAATGGAAAAAGACATTCAAAAGGGCAGGAGCTTAAAAGGTTTACCGTTACTCCTGGACCCAAAAAGAGATAAAAAAAAAAAGGGATTAACCCGAAAAGACAAAAGGATGTAGCCCAATACCTGCTATCACTCTCATCAAAACTTAACCTAATTTATATGAACTACATTATAGCCTGCATGAGAAAAAACAAAGTCTAAGCAAGTTGGCTTAAACAAAATCAAATTTTTCTCCATTGAAACATAGCAAAAGCAACTGAACTTTTTGATAGACATAAATCAAACCGAAATCAAGCACATCTCCTTCATTTCTCAAATCCCTCACTTTTCTGGTACTGGCAGTCCTAACAGATAGCAGTCATATTAGTAAACTAAGTCTTCTTTTCCATTTATTATATTTATCTATTTTGTTTTCCTTCTATTCCTCCCTCAGCCTCAGTATAATGCTACCAATGCATTTTCAGAATCACAGATAAGATGTTTCAAGCAAGCATTTTAACCATTCAAGGGAAATAGCTATATTAAACATTAAAAATTGAACAGTGTATGAAAGGAAATATAACACACTTAAGCCCCATGCTGTTAGCAAGTCCTGCTGTGAAGGAATGATTAGAGTTTGCCTTCTCCACTGGTTCACAGAATGTTGCCAGTGCTGGATCATTAATTGAAGAAACCTGAAGCAGTCTTGCAGAATTTGGCCATTCAAGTTTCTGGTCTCCATAGATCAATGGCTGCATCCATGCCTTGCCAGTGCCTCTCCTTGCATACATCACGCATCCCTTTTCCCATGTATCAGAAGTTGGAGAAAGCTTTGACATGGTTTCATAGTATCGATGATGATACTTCAGCCATTCTTTTTTCATTGGGTAATTAGGGCACCCAAGGACTCCAATAACAACTTTTCCCTCTTCAAGCAATGATAAAGCTACAGCATACTGATCCCCTCGCACAAATCCCAATGTTCCATCAACAGGGTCAAGTACCCAATGCCTTCCAGTGCGGCCACCAGTTGAGTTGCATCGGCTGATGGCCTCCAGAATTTCTTGGGTATTCAGTGCTCTCTTTGGACTCTGAAGTCCATACTTTGGTGCTTCACCCAAGCATTCATTCACGGTATTGACAACGGCTGCCAGCAAACCAGATGACTCAGAATTGGAGAGAGTCTGAACATCTTCCTCGGCAACAATGGAGACATTTTCACATCCAAAGTTTGTTGACAATATCCAGCTAACAGCTGCTTGAACGCTCCAATCTGTTAATGAGGCAATATCAAGATCATATTAACCAATCTAGTTGGTGAAGACATGGCATGCACACGATCCATAATAAAATCAATAGGTAAATTTGTTCCGAAGAATAGTATCACAAATATCCTTTTGAAACTGATTATTTCAGTTCAAGATGAAACCGTACTCTTTTCTGTAAAATTACCCTAAACACTACAACATGGAAACACCAAGCTGTTTAGAGTTCCTCCTCCACAATCAAATATTACATTTTTGAATAATCAAATTGATACCCTTTTTTTTTTTCACACAATAGTTGATAATCTAAAATGTCTAGTTTTCCTGAGGCAGGGTAGAAGATAATGATATAATCTGATTCTCAACTTCATAAGACAAAATAATGGACTAATGAAATCGAATTAAAATCTAAGTCTATCTCTTCTCCATATTATTTTTATAATGCCTGTGGATGATAAGAATCAAATATGTACTGCAACTCCATTATAAGCTACAATGTAACATCTTATATCCATGATTCTCCTAAGAATAAATTCTTTAGAAGGATGAATTCAATCACCGAACCCACCCAACATAGAAACAAAGGAGCATAAATTCATTCACTACAAAAAAAGGCAAAACCAATTGGCAGCGACACAAATCAAGTCCCCCCGCCACCCAACAAAATCATAATAATAAAAAGTGAAGGAGCATGAATCTAATCTCACATTCCTTCCATGTTTGAATTAAAAACAGAGGTTGATCAAATGAATGTCTATATCTTCAAAACATTCAAGTCCTAGACAACTTCGTTTTTTTTTCCCTTAAACAAACAAACAAACAAACAAACAAAATTTTTCATGCTAATCAGACACCATATTCCCAATGCACGCCGTCCAAAATCAACAAATGACTCCTAAATTGAACACAAAAAAGAACTCAACACTCAAAAATTTCTAAGTACCTGCAACGGTAACAGGAGAGTCATCATCCTTAGACTTCACCTGATCACCACGCGTTGAAACCACCCTCTCTTGCACTCTCCGGCACAGAGAACACGCCATGTGCACAACTCTTACAGCGACATCCAGTTCCTTGGCGTAAATGTCCTTATCCTCCATTTCTACCGCCTTCAACCAAAACAAATCTCCGATGGAGAAATCTCAATTTACTAGATACCCACCTCCAGATTCGCCCCAAACCGTAGCCTCACATCCTCGAATGTCCTTATTCACCGTAAACCACCATAAAAGGCCCTCGGAAATAGGAAGAAGAAGAAGAAGAAGAAGAAGAAGAAGAAGAAGCGTGAAAGAGAATCTCGCCTCCTTGGCTCTTGTGCAGTGGGTTGTGTTGGTTGGAAGTGTGATTCACATGGGGAATTTTGATGTAAAAAATTATATGTGGCGCCTGTTTGTCCATCGAAAATGAAAAGTTCCCAAATGCTGGACATGTACATTCTACAGAATAAAGAAAAAAAATAAAAGCACCCCTCAGAGCGTCAACAGAAGGTCCAGCCGATACGGACAGCATGTGGTTCGGGGTGAATTTATAATTAAGATAAGACGAAACGACATCGTATCGTGCTTTGGCCTTTTTTAAACCTTTGCAATTCTAAGTTTTCAATATTCGAATTTGACCGCTGATGCCACCGGCCTATCTTGTGAATATGATACTTGGGTCTTGACTTTTTGCACTGTGTGTATATTTAGTGTTTGGTTGTTTGTTGTAGAATTTTATAATTTGATAAAATTTTTATTTTAGAATTATACATATATATATATGTATATATAGATACACAAAGTTAACATCATATTAAACCAAATCATTAAATACTATTAATTAATTTCATTATATATATGTTGTATACATTTAATTAATATATACATGGTATATTATTCTTTAATTTTTTTTTTACGTGCTTCAAATTATATATTTAACTAATATGATTCAATATCCCGAAAGAACAATATGTTTCAACTAATATAAATAAATTAATGTTATATAATTAATTTAAATTGACATACATATATATTTTTAATTAGTATATAATTAATAATATTATACCGATTTAATTTAATTATTTTTAAAATTTTTATTAAATTCATGTTATGTGTTTATTTATATCATATAAAATTAGTTTTGTCCGGTGCTAATTTATGATAGACCGGTCCCGTTTTGAAATTTCTTGAGAATTGTTTTATTTTCTTTAATTATTTAATGCATTGTGTGTGAAAAGAGTTTTTCAAATGTCATATACTTATAATACTATATATTTATAATGTTTTTTTTTTATTTTTGGTATAAGAAATTTATATCACCAAATTATTAAGGTATAAGAGTATAAATGTTACAATATTGTCGCACATAAAAAGTTTGGGAAGTACAATTATTTTTGCAAATTAGACTAAGTCTTATGACTCATACTTATAATTAATTATTCGTATTTATATCTACCACCAACTTAACTAGTCATGTACGGTACATGATATTTTTTCTTTGCCGCCAATGAAATCACGAACGCTTAATCACCAACAACGATAACGTACTAATTGTTAAGTTTGAAAATTCGTCGATCTACCCAAAAAAAAAAAAAGAGTAGGATGGCTCGAAGTTCTAATAGAAGAAAAACTCGAATTCTTATAATTGTCAGAGAAGGAATTCAAATTTCTTCTTTTATTTTTTACAAGACTTTCTCTCTTGTGTATTATTATATGTATTTTTCTACGAGTTAAGCGAAAAATAGAAAACACAAAAAATGATTACGAGAGTGAGATAAGTAAGAAATATTTTCAAACACTATAATTAAGATAGAGAAAATGAGATACATATAATGAGAGTGACATTCGAGATATTTTTTTTAATAATCTTGTAAGTTTTTATAAGAGAAATATATTTTCATAATATTATATTTCTGGTAGTTAATATTTATAATATTGAATTTGAATTATAATAATTTATTAATTTTTTTATATATCTTTTATCTCTTGAGTACGTAATTTTCTAGTAAAAATAATCTCAATTCTTTATTTTTCATTTTTTACTACAGTAAAAAAAATGAAGATACTCGCGACATTCTCTCTAGTTATTTCGTAAACTAAGAGCATTAAATTTTCATTCTAAAATGTAATAAAATTTTATTTTATTTTATCTCTTTAATTTCTTTTTTTTTTGTCATTGATTTTTCTCTTATTTATCAAATATTGTATGCATGCATGTTATGTAAAAGTTGTCTTTTTCATATTTTACATGTGGTAGTGATCATATCACTGACGAGCAATAAGATAACGTCAACCTCTTACAACTATCTATCTGTTATACATATATTCATAATACATATATGTTATCATCAAATTAAGATATTATTTTGTTTAGAAAATTATTAAATATTTTAGAAAGATAAATAAATTTTCATACTCTAAATATAAATATAAATTTATTTTAAATATTTATTAAAAATTATGAAAAAAATTAAAATAAACTAGTTACATTTATAAATTTTTTAAACTTATTTACACTTGGGAAAGAAATAATAAATTTTATTTTTTATATTTGTAAAAAGCATATATTATTTTATTATACATTTCTCAAATAAAAATAATAAAAATGATACATTAAAATAAAGTATCTATTTTATATTCTTTTTATTCATATAAATGTAGTATATGCGCATATACCATCATATATATATATATATATGTAAACTTAAAATTTTAAAAAATAAAAAAAAAAAAACAGTATTTTTATATGTGAAATGGAAACTTAAAATGGAAGAAAAGCAGCGCTACGACATTGTCAATAAAACGATCCGTTTTGCAGCTTCATTAAATAGATCAGCCCCTTGACAACACACCTCTAACTGTAATTTCCACGTGGCAGTCATCCACACGATAACCATGATCCACCGAGCAGGTTTCCCTCTAAATTGACGTGAACAAAAAAATTTGATCATACACATCATTACACGTGTAATGCATCCAACGGTGATTCTACGACGATCATCTCCTAACTTGCTCGACATTTATCGCATCCAGAAGAATATAAAT